AAAATTAAACGCGGATTATTCAGAAAAAATTCACTGTAAAATCATTATGGGTGTGGAAGTAATATGCGGACCGATGTTTTCCGGAAAAACGGAAGAACTGATCCGGCGCATTACGCGGGCAAAAGTATGCCAAACAGCATATTTTATCGTTTAAACCCGTCATTGACAGTCGATATTCGTTACATCATATACAGTCGCACTCGGGAAGTCGTGAGCCGTGCCGGGTGATTGAATCGGTGGTGCAGATTAAGACGGAGATTGAGCAATCTAAACCAGATATTATAGCCATTGAAGAAGCGCAGTTTTTTGATTATCAGGAATTTGTCAGCACACTAAAGTTAATCATTCGTTTACAGATAAAAACGGTAATTTCCGGTCTGGATATGGATTTTATGGGAAATCCGTTTGAAAATATTATTTACGCAATGGGTATTGCTCAAAAAGTGGACAAATTATCCGCGGTATGTGTCGTATGCGGTCAGGATGCTACAATGACGTATAAGAAACAACTGAACAGCCTCCGTGTTGAAATTGGTGAAACAGACCTGTATGAAGCGCGGTGCTACAGTTGCTGGCAGAGGCGGGATAAATGAGCGTTAACCGGCAACCCAAAGCCGGATACAACCGGAAAAGAATTTAAGCTGTATCTATAAATTTTAACATTATAACTTATACTTAAGACGAATTATGGACATCAGAATTACGGCGAAACAAATGGAACTGACAACGGCACTGCGGGACTATGTCAACACCCGGTTTTCACGAATTAATAAATTTGGAGATATGTTCAGTGCGGCAGAGGTACATTTGGATTCGGAAAAACGTGAACAAAAAGTTACTGCCAACCTGAAAGGCGGGAAGAAACATTTTTTTTCTGAAGCGGTTGACCCGGCAGATATGTATAAAGCCAATTGACGCCTGTGTAGATAAACTGGAAAAACAGATTCGCCGGGGTAAAAGACGAACATGAACATGTATCAATATAATTTTATTGGATAGTTGTCCGCTGTTTAGCCATTTAACGCACAAGCCTCGGCAGAAATTTTGATGTCGACTGACTTATATTCTGATCCACCCGTCGGGTATCAAATCACTTGTATCTACGGTCTCATCTGTAAACCAGCGTTTAGGAGCAATCACCACTTTGTCAGGATTGTTGCCTAGATACGCCGCCCACCAGGAAAAAGCTGCTGTTGGCAATGATAAAATGTTTGCACAGCGTCATCAGTTCAAAATCATCTCTGAAAGTCAATCCCGTTCTTTACCCGAAACAAATAAGTTCTCCGCATTGGGCTTAATATTTTCCCGGCACCTCTCAATATCATCTGAAAATACAAACACCTTCAGTGGGCTCTTTTATACGTTGCACCAGTATATTTCTCTGCCCGAGTATAATAATCATTTCCGTACGTGCCATGAAAAGCATTAGCCATAGGATTATTTACATAATCCCCCCTCCTGATATGCATACACACAGAATTTGATGATTTAATGTTCTCTGCAATACTAATCGCCTCTGCTGTTTAGCGGTTCTTTAAATGTGAAATCCTGTCTGATAATATGCTCTATGTCTTTAAAATATTTTTCCTGTCTGCCAGTATCCATGTAAATAGACATTATCAGGCAATTTTAATACTGTAGGATCAAATTTAAAATATTTATCACTTACAGTCTTAAGATCTATTCCAATATTTGATCGAATCTTACGAATTACTCTCTTAACAAATTCAGTTCTTTTAATGTGATTTCTACTTAAAATACCGTATCGCTTGCTGACATTATCCAAGGCAAACTCTGCGTTGATATTAAATATATCTAAATTATAATTATAATAAGTAAAATTTCACGCGGACTGCGAGTCTAACAGAAATTTAGTATCAATAAGAAATTTAGTATTGTGCTTTAGGGATAAAGCTCTGCCCAAAGCATACTGAAACATCTGATTTCCCAGTCCTCCCATCAGTTCAGTAACAATCATTTATAATATTGTGTGTATGTATTGACTTTAATTTTTAACTTAAGTGTAAAAACCGTCCCTGAAAACGGCGACGGGAGGACATTTGGGCGGTAATATACTGCATCGGGCGCATCTTTTCTTTTGTCCAGACAGGTGCAACCAGCTCATCCCACCGGTTAGCAACCGCAGCCAGTCGGTTCACAGCAATTGCAGGATCCAGATGCTCTAAAAACAATATCACACGCTCCGCGTACTCCTCAAGTGACAGCGGGTATACTGCCCCGCCTCATAATATTGCTGCAGGGGTTGTATTTTTCAGCACATGCAGGTTATGCAAGTTTAAACGGTTTTGATGCCCAATCGATTGGTCGTTTCTGCCGCCCGCACAATATCCGCCTCCGTTTCACCGGGAAACCCAAAAATCAGATGAATGCCAATATCCGCACCTTCAATCTGCTGCAAACGCTCAACGGCTTTGTATATGGATGACGCATTATGCCCGCGCTTCATATATTCCAGTTGTTTATCATCATAACTCTGCACACCTAATTCAATATGCAGATAGGTTTTCTGTGCAAATTCCTTTAACACCCGCAATGTTCCGAGAGAAATACAATCCGGACGGGTTCCGATAACAACCCCGACTACATCTTCCGCTTCTGTAATTGTTTTCAGCCGTTCATACAATCGGTCTGTTTTTACAAATGTATTTGTATAAGACTGTAAATATACCAAAAACGCAGATGCCCGGTAGCGCACCCGAATCTTTTCGCGGTTAATCTTAATTTGCTCTGCCAACGGTAACTCACGCTCAAGGTGATAAGCGGCGGATCCCCAAAGCATCGCAAAAAATACACGTCTCCATCCCGTTTTTTGCCTTCACGGTTGGGGCAGGTCTCTGCCACGCTGACAGATACTTTGTAGACTTTTGTACCGAATTTGTTTTTGAAGAACGTGCTGACCGGGTAATACGGACGTCCCTCAAAATGGTAGGGGACGTCAGATACAGGTAGTTGTAAAGAAAACGGCTGAACTTCCAGCGCAGAAACGGTCATATAAGATTTGAACCGCTGCGATAGCCGATAACGATTTTCCCTTCTTCTTCCAGTCTGCGGGCAACCCGGACAATCCGCTGCTTGCGCGGCATCTACATCAGACACTTTTACCGGTCCCATAGACTGCAGGTCGTCCCGAATCATCTTGGTCAGACGCTTGGACATATTATTGAAAATATGTGCTTTAACTGCGTCTGAAGCTGTTTTCAGCGACAAAATAATATCTTTTTGATCCACCTGCGACAGCACCTGCTGCATACCCTGAACATCCACCAGAACCAAATCTTCAAAGGTAAACATCAGCTCACGGATTTGATCGGCAAGTTCGGGATTAATTTCTTCAATTACGGACAGAATACGGCTTTCATAGCTTTTTTCCATTGTATTGAGAATTTCCGCCACAGACTCCACGCCCCCCACTTTTGCACTGGAAAACGTCCCGGCATTATCCATCTCCCGCATCAGGATTTCATTAATTTCATTGATAACGTTCGGGCGGAATGGCTTCCAGAACTGCCATACGGTACGTTACATCTGCCTGAATATTATCCGGCAATAATTTGAGTACCACCGCCGCCTGTTCCGGGTCATCCAGATGCGCCAAAATCAGCGCAATCGTCTGCGGATGCTCGTTGATAATAAACTGAACAATAGTTTTGGGATCAAGAAATTTGAGTGACTCCAGTGCGCCTTTATCGCCACCGGCAGCAATCGCTTCAGAAATGGACAAGGCTTTTTCATTCCCCAAGGCTTTTTCAAGGGCGGACTGAATAAAATCCGAACCGCTTTTCATATATATAGAGTCTTCCTGAAAGTTCATCTTGCGATAATACTCTTCCAGAATAACATCCAGCTCATCCGTATCAATTTCGTTGAGGCGGGCAAGGAAATAGCCAATCTGCTGAATTTCTTTTTCATCCAGCAGTTTAATTACACTGGCGGCGGCGGCATCCCCAAGTGCCATCAGTAATACAGCGGCTTTTTTAGGCCCGGTCAGTGCAATGGACATAATAACAGTTAAACAGCGGACAAGTGATATGCATACAAATAAATAACATCGGACAGTATAGCTTAATATTTAAAAACCAAGAAGTATGAAAAAAAATACTTAATTTTATGCAGCATAATCCGCATAAATTGCGGACTATTGCCGGAACAGTATTTTTTTGATTTACTAATCCTGCTTACTGAATAAACATTATGCTCCGTTTAAGATATTTTGCTTGTATATTTAACTACAGCAAATTCAGGATTTAGCAATTTTTTTCCAAATTACTTTGCAGGAATTTATTTTTTTTATTAAATCACTGAATATCCTCCAAACCTACATGATTTTTAATGGAAAAATTTGAGCGGGTATGGCGGGATTTTGATAAGAATCCGATTTCCCATTCCACCGCACATTATCTTTTTGCGGTATATGAGCTGGAGCAGGAAGGGCATCTTCCCCGGGCGACGGATGTGGCTAAAAAGCTGAGCGTCAGCAGGAATGCGGTCTCTCTTCAGTTAAAGTCGCTTCAGGAAAATAATTTATTAAAAATAGACGCACAAAACCATATAAAACTAACCGAAACGGGTTTAAATGCGGTGAATATGATTGCCAGCAAGCGGATTTCGTTCAGAACATTTTTAACCGAAGTACTCAGCGTCAGTGAAGAAACAGCAGAAACTGACTCGTGCAAAGTGGAACATTTGCTGTCCACCGAAACCGGCGCGGCATTTGTGCGGTTTATTAATTATATGCGTGCGCGGGGTTCACGGAATTTAAACAACTGATTTGAAGATTTTGCACAGACAGATTGCGTATGCGATCAGCATACAGGTGCGGAATGTGTTCCAATACCTGCCTGATCAACAGATCCGCCGAGGGAAACTAAAGCAGATAACGTATAAAAAATTACAGATAGGTCCGGCAGACAAAAAACATAAAAATAAAAAAAAATATTTGACAATGCTTTACGGAGACGGCTATATTTTTATGTTTTTCCGGGTCTGTAGCTCAGGTGGTTAGAGCGCACCCCTGATAAGGGTGAGGCCGGTGGTTCGAGTCCTCCCAGACCCACCATGCGGAAAATAACGACTGTGGGGAATTAGCTTAGTTGGTAGAGCGCCTGCCTTGCAAGCAGGAGGTCAGCGGTTCGACTCCGCTATTCTCCACCACGATATGAAAATAATAAGATACCGCGTATAGAATGCGCTGTATTTTTTCCGGTACGATAAATCTTCGCCAAACCGGAATACTGAATTTAAGTTCAGGCGCGTAGCTCAGCGGTAGAGCACTACCCCGACACGGTAGGGGTCGGCGGTTCGACCCCGCCCGCGCCTACCACGTAAAACCATTACACGTAATACGGCTATCAATACCAATCAGGAAACTCAGAAAAAACAGGACGGTCCGCCGGTAAACGGGCAGATACGCTCAAAACAGGTCAGATTAATCGGTGATAACGGTGAGCAACTGGGCATTTTCAGCTTATCAGACGCCATTGAGCTTGCGTCAGAAAAAGGAATGGATGTCGTTCAGGTCAACCCCAACGCCAGTCCGCCTGTCTGCAAGATACTAAATTATGCGAAATTCCGGTATCAGCAGAATAAAAAATTACACGAGTCTAAAAAGAAGCAGAAACAAATTCACCTCAAAGAGATTAAACTGCGTCCGATGACCGGTGAACATGATATTGGGCATAAGCGGCGACACGCGATTGAGTTTTTGCAGAACGGTGATAAAGTCAAGGTACCATTATGTTTCGCGGACGTGAACTGAACTTCAAAGATGTTGGGATTGACGTGCTGAAGAAATTTTACGTTGGAATGGAAGAATACGGCATGATTGATAAAGAGCCGGCAATTGAAGGCCGCATGGCTACCATGATAATTAATCCTAAATCCTGATTTGGGAACACCGAACTGTGTTAACGTCTTTGAAAAGATACTGTTTAAGATTAAATAATAACCTGCGTCTGCGTCCGGTCATAACGGGCGCACAGCTTTTTTGAACGATGGCAAAATCTAAAAAGAAAAAAAATTACCGTCTGAAAACTAACCGGGCGGCAGCAAAGCGTTATAAAGTACTGAAAAGCGGTAAAGTTAAACGCAAAAAAGGATTTTTGAGGCACAACCTCAGCACCAAAACAAAAACTGCCAAGATGGTTCTCGGGCAGACCGGGTATGTGTCCTGATGTTGACAAAGTTCATATCCGGCACTTACTTCCATACGGCTGAAGGGGGCAAACGGAAATAATTTCTGAAAAAATTGCCTGTTAATAAAAAATACAGTTACTTTTATTTTGATAAAAAGCGATGAGAGTTAAAAGAGCGGTTAATGCAAAGAAAAAAAAGCGGACATATTTCAAAGCCGCCAAAGGTTATCAGGGCGGGCGGAGCCGTCTGCTGAGAACTGTTAAGGAAGCCGTAGAAAGAGCATGGTGCTATGCATATCGTGACCGTAAAGTCAGAAAGCGTGACTTCAGACGTCTGTGGATTGTACGCATCAACGCTGCTGCGCGTGAATTCGGTGTCAGTTACAGCAAACTCATCGGCGCCCTCAAAAAGAGCAATATTATACTTGATCGAAAGATGCTTGCGGTCATCGCGTATTCTGATTCAAATACCTTCAAAAGTATTCTGGAAAAAGCCGGCGTGAAAATATCCTGATTACCGCATTTATATTCCGGGTTGCGCGGTATTCAGGATTGATTTCGTAAATTCCGCCTTTTTCTGTAAACCGGAAAGGCCGCCTGCATTGTTTTTCTTACGGGATGCGTCTCTGAAGCATAACAGAAGTAAGCGACATAATCCCATTCAGTATCCATTCATTCGCTGTTGATTTAACCATCGCCTGTCTCATGATACTCGAAAATCCCATTCTGGTTGTTGATGATGAAGTGGAAATGCGCATTGCGATGTCTACCACACTGAAAAAATGCGGATTTAAGTAGAGTTATCCCACAGCGCGGCAGGACGCTATGACTAAATTCCGCAAAAAAGACTACAGTCTGGTTATTACTGACATGACCATGCCCAAGAGGAGCGGCGTGGAACTTCTGAAGGACATGAAATCCGTCAATTCCAAAGTGCCGATCATCATTATGACTGCGCACGGAACGATTGAAACGGCAATTGAGTCTATGAAACACGGCGCATTTGACTACATTCTCAAGCCGTTCGATTTCGATATGATCATTTTCCTTATCGAACGGGCCCTGACGTATAACACATCTACTTCTGTGCCGGGCATTCCCTCTGTTGCTTCATTCAGCAATGCAGATGAGACGAAGAAGAAGAAATTCCCGATACCCAAAGCAGTACCAAAGAATTCATCACCGGTGACCCCGCAATAAAAGAAATCCTGAGCGTGGCTAAATCGGTTGCACAAAGTAAAGCAACTGTACTGATTCAATCTGAAAGCGGTACCGGTAAAGAATTGCTGGCGCGGTTTATCCACAACTGTTCTGACCGTAAAAATAAACCGTTTGTCGCAATTAACTGCGCGGCACTGCCGGAAACCCTGTTGGAGAGTGAACTCTTCGGACATAAAAAAGGCTCGTTTACCGGTGCCCTCAACGATCACAAAGGAAAATTTGAGCAGGCAAACGGCGGAACCATTCTGCTGGACGAAATCAGTGAAATGGCACCGCACTTACAGGCCAAACTGTTGCGGGTATTGCAGGAGCAGGTGGTTGACCGTATCGGCGGCAGTGAGCTGATTGCGCTGGACATCCGTGTCATCGCCACAACCAACCGCAATTTGCAGGAATACGTGGATGAAGGCAAGTTCCGCGAAGACCTTTATTTCGCCTGAATGTAATCCCCATGCGCCTGCCGCCTCTGCGGGAACGCAAAGGCGATATTCGCATCCTCACGGATTATTTTATTAAAAAACACGCTCAGCGGAGTAATATCAGCAAGGTGCCGGCAGTACATGAAGACACGCTGCGTGTTCTGGAGAACTATAACTGGCGGGGAAATGTTCGTGAATTGGAAAACGTCGTGGAGCGCTCGCTGATTCTGAGCTGGCGGTAATACAGTGATGCCTTCCCACCTGTTAATGAACATGACGCTGAATGCGTTTAATCCGTCTGTTGAAAAACATGCGCCGGTAATGGATGATACAAGCTACGGGATGACTCTGAAGGATGCGGAGAAGAATTTAATACTGAAAACGTGGAAAAAGAACAAAGGAGATGTCAAAAAAACTTCTGAAATACTGGGTATCAGTGAAACTGAACTGCGGGAAAAGCTGACGGCTTATTCAAAAGAAGGGGCAGATTTGGGTTATAAACTAACTTGAACACGTTGCTCTTTATTTCCTGTGCGCAGTTTACTTATACCCAAAGCGTGGCTGCTGACTGCGCGCCCCAAAACCCTGCTTTTAGCATGCGCCGGTATTTTGACAGGTGCTGCACCTGCACTGCGTGAAGATAACCTTAACATCCCCGTTCTTTTACTCAGTCTGCTGACTGCGGTACTGTTGCAGAGTATTTCTAACTTTTGCAATGATTATGGTGACAGCGTGAAAGAACTCGATGAAAACCGCATTGGCCCCAAGCGCGCTATCCATCTGAATTTGATTACACGCAACGAACTGAAAACGATGATTGTTATTCTGTGTGCAGTCACCGCCGCTGTCGGAGTGATTTTACTCTATACGGCATTCGGCACAGAACGCCCCGTTGATCTGTGGTGCTTTTTGATTTTGGGGGCGTTATCAATTGCCGCCGCTGTTGCGTACACAGTGGGTCAAAAGCCCTATGGATATATCGGACTGGGGGATATTTCAGTATTTCTGTTTTTTGGACTGCTGGCGGTTGAAGGCAGTTATTATCTGCATACCGGAAAACTCTCTGCATCTGTTTTTCTGCCTGCATCCGCTGTCGGCATAATGTGTATGTCCGTTCTGAATATAAATAACATGCGTGACCGCACAACCGATGCCCAAAAACACCGTGTGACACTGCCGATTCTGCTTGGTGAAAGACTTTCCGTAGTATACCATATTCTGATTACTTTACTGCCTTCGGTTATATTTTTTCTGTATTTATCGCAAAACTTTTATTCATCCGCGTTTTATGTGATCCCGCTTTTATCGGTATTATTTTTACCGGATTTGGTTTCGCTGGCACGCAATTCCCGCGCATTTAATTATAACCGCGCGCTTGGGCGCGTTTCTGCACTAACTTTACTTACTTCTGTTGTTTTTTTTGGTTTTCAGCTGTCAGAAAAAATGCAGTAGGCTTCAGAAAAATGTTATTGCTAACCATGAAGACATAAAGCAACACTATGCGCAGAAAACATGTACAAAGCTGCAGAAAATTTTTATAATACTGACTGATACTGACAAGACTATTGAACTGAATTTATATGAAAAAAAAAATTGTTATTCTGCCCGGAGACGGTATCGGCACTGAAATCTGTGAACAGGCGGTCAAAGTTTTGCAGAAAACAGGAGACCTTCTGGGTTATACATTTGATCTGGAGCATGAAATTGCAGGCGGTGCCTGCATTGATAAACACGGGATCCCATTGCAGGACAGCACTCTGGAAAAATGCAAACACGCGGATGCTGTCCTGCTCGGCGCAGTCGGCGGACCGAAGTGGGAAGGATTGGATTTTTCAGTACGTCCCGAGCGCGCCCTCCTGAAGCTTCGTTCAGAACTTCAGTTATACGCCAATCTCCGCCCGGCAATAATATACAGTGAACTGGCGGACGCCTCTACTCTCAAACGCGAAGTACTGGAGGGCGCGGACATTCTGGTGATTCGCGAACTGACCGGCGGCATATACTTCGGAAAACCGCGCGGTGTAAAAATTGAAGACGGCAAACGGGTTGGCTTTAATACCCTGATTTATAATGAAGACGAAATCCGCCGTATTGCCCGCACAGCATTTGAAGCGGCAATGAAGCGGCGTAAAAAAGTGTGTTCAGTAGACAAAGCTAACGTGCTGGAGTCTACTGAACTGTGGCGGACAGTTGTCACGGAAGAACACAAAAATTACCCTGAAATTGAGCTCAGTCACATGTATATTGACAACGCGGTGATGCAGGTCATCCGCAACCCGCGCCAGTTTGATACGGTTGTGACGACCAACATGTTCGGCGACATCCTAAGTGATGCCTGCGCGATGATTACCGGCTCCATCGGAATGTTGCCCAGCGCATCTGTAGGCGGTAAAAACGGCATGTACGAACCTGTACACGGCTCCGCGCCGGACATCGCCGGACAAAACATCGCCAATCCGCTCGCCACCATCCTTTCTGTAGGCATGATGTTTAAATATTCCTTCGGTGATAATAACGCCTATGAAATGATTGAACGCGCAGTCAAA